GAAAGAGCTGCCATCGTTTGAGCATAACCAGATAGTCTGTATGAAGATTCTGGGTTATTGTACAAGCAACGGGATTCGTGGATGATTGATCTGTGTGCCGATTTCTTTGGCATATGTGAGGAGTTGACACTGGAATTTGAAACAAACAACACATCAATTTCATGTGTCGTTCCCCACCTCCATGCCTGTAATGTCACATTGCTTTTTTGTAAGTGTCAGTGAAGGCCATAAATCAAGACATTTTGTTAAGAAAATAAAACTTTCTAAGTCGTGCCCACAGTATCTTGCCAAATAGATTATATCCTACCAGAATTACAAAATTGGCTCCATATTTCAAGGGAAGAACTGTGAGGAACATGTACTGAAGACTTAAGAGTTGGGTTGAAGGAGCGTGGAGAAGGTTTGGGGCATTATAGGCACACAGTGATTTTTCATTATGGACTTTGATTTACTTATTTTTTTTCTTTTTTTTTTTTATCTAGTCCAACAGAGACTCCTGCCAGGAGAATGTGGTAACTGATAATAAAAGATAATGTCACAAGATAGGGAAGGAAAGAAAATATGCACAGAAACGAGGAATCTAGCCAGGCGGTCAGGACAGCAGGTTCCCTTACATTATATATTCAGAGAGTTTGGTCAGTCAGGACAGTCCACAATAAGTGGAGGGACAGAACTTCATTTCTGAGGTAAGACTCATCACATCACTCAACCTTGTTCTGTACCCAAAACACATTTGTTCCCTAGACATTCTCTCAGAACATATCTTCAACATAAAAACTGAATTTTCTTACAGAAAATTTTGGAAATAACGTATTTATTTCCCATATTCTTTTACCTTGAAAGTTGTGCTTCTGACTCTTCTGAGTAGGCCCCAGATGCATTGTGGGCCCATCTCTGTCTGTTCCAAGCCTCACACACCAGAATCCCAAGGACTATGAGGATCAAGCCGGCCATGCCCATCCTAATGAGATTCTCAACTGTTTGATCCTGTGTCTCTGAGGCTGTGTTTGTGGACAAAGAAGTCACAGAGGTTAGGTTAGGGCAGGGCTAAGTTTCTCCCATGATAACTGGCTGTCCACTCAGGGCACATGCCTTCCCAGGACAGAACTTGGACCCGCTGTGTCCAGTACCATTGTTTTCAATTATCCATATTCACCTGCCTTGGTTTTCATCATGTTGTGTAAAGGACTGATTGTCTTAGATGATCCTGAGAACAGAATAAGAGGAGTAGAATGCAGGAGGTGCTTGAGAGTCCTAAGTGTTTCCTAAGTGTTCCACAGTCTCCATTCCTGTAAATGACCATCATTATCATCATATATACTCATGAAGTTCTGGGGTGAACCTTTCTCTGTCTCTATCAGGTTCCCTCTTGTATTCTGATTAGAATCTTCAGCTTCACTGGGCTAAAAGAGACACCAATGAAACAGAATTGAAAACAGAAAATTCAGAGTGGAACAAATTGACAAGGCATTCCAGTTGATGATCTTTGATCATGCAGTCCCTGCACTGAACAACTTCAAGGCACCATTCTGAGTATGGCATTTCTGGTGAGCTTAGTAGGTGAGCTCTGCAGATTTAGATGCCCAGTGTTGTGAAATGGTGCTCAAGAAACCTTAGTGGATTTGAACCAAGGAGACACATGCCAAGGGGGCACAGCGGAAAGTTACTCACACCACGCAGGCATGACATCCATATGGAAAATTTTATTATTAAAGGAAAAGGGGAGAGGGAAGAGAAAGAAAGAGGGAGGGAGAGAGACAGAGAGGGAAAGAGAGAGATAGAAAGAGAGAAAGGAAAGTGGAGGTGCGTACAGCCTCATGAAGAGAAAGAGGGAGGGAGGAAGAAGGAGGAGGAAGGTTTTTTTCCTCTTAAAGGAGGATTTACAGAAGATGACATCAGGATGCTGGGCAGGTCCCCAAAGGGTGGTTCAAAATGCTAACATTCCTCCATTTTTGATTATTATAGAAAGGTGAGTTATGGATAGCAAGTGTGTGTGTGTGTGGGGGGGGAATAAGGGCACTGAATTCTTGAGACTGCTTCTTGCTAATTTGGGGGCAAAGTGGGTGTTGGGAGTCGTGCACAACAGGGGGCGTGAGTGAAGAAGCATTCAGTTAGCTGTCGTCTTGGAGACCCCTTGAAGGAGCTGAGAAGGCAGGTTACCAGGAAAAAATAGATTATTTTCCTTGGCCTCGTGAGTGGGGCCAGCCATGGGAAGAGTGACGGCTGCCAGAAAGAATGGGATGGAGAGGGGTCCCAGCTGCACAGAAGAGGGAGTGTGGATGAGCCAGATGAAAGAGTAGATATGTCCTTGAGTCTGGAGTGGTGGTAGCAGCAGTGATCTTCCAGGAGCCTGGGAAAATGGCGCACCAAACAAATCAAGAGTACAGGAGACATCATATTTGCTGTTTCTCCGGAGGTGGGAAATGCTCACATCCATCCTGTGAAAGTGTCAGTGAATTAGGAGATAATGGAGTTTTTACGAGTGGGCATGTGGGTGAAGCTAACATGCCAGTATTTGCCTGGTTGGTGTTCTCAGATGGCTCAGTGGCTGGTGGTGTATCTCGAGAGCCTTTGAGGGTCTGGCCTTGGCACAAGTCTGGCAGGAGGGATTGATCTGTGCAGGAACCCGTGTCTTTAAACAACTGGAAGAGACCTGCATTTTGGTGTCATAGCAAAAGCTATGCCTTTGGGTTAAAAGGTATGAATATTTTCTAGGGCCTGGATTCAGCCCAATGAAACATATCTTTAAATCTATAACCAGAGGAAATTTACTGAATAGAAGTGGTTGAATGAGTGAAGGAGGAGGGAGGCTTCCCTACGCTCCCTACTAATGCTAACCTGTCTCTAAAAGACGGGACCAGTAAAGTCCACAGAAATTTAAGGATTCCCAAGACTGTCTGTAGTCAGTGCTCTATCAGTTTATCAAGACTGCATTTATCAATGCTAAAATTTTGAACCTCTGAAGTTACATCTGAAACTGGCTTATCCTGTACCATGACGTCTGTGAATTTAAAAGGCAGCTGAAACCTTGGTGGCTCCTGTTGAACTGACGAAACCTGGCTGTCAATGACATGGCACCAATGTTGTGAAAGTGCACAAGAGGCCAAGGAGACGTGGTGGAAAGTTACTCACACCATGCAGGCATGGCATCCATGTGGAAAGTTTTATTATTAAAGGAGAAAGAGAGAAGGGAAGGGATGGAGGGAGAAGGGGGTAGAGAGAGAGGGAGAGAACATGGAAGTGCGCACTTCCTGAGAGAGGGAGGGAGGGAGGGAGGGAGGGAGGGAGGGAGGGAGGGAGAGGGGGGGAGAGGGGGGAGAGAGACAGAGAGAGAGAGAGAGAGGAAGAAAAGAAGGGGGAGGGGTTTTTCCTCCTAAAGGGGCCTTTACATAAGATAACATCAAAATGCTGGGCAGGTCCCCAAAGTGTAGTTCAGAATGCTAACACCTAACACCTAATCTGGAATGTTTCTCCCAAATACCTGTTTTTACTGAGTGCCCCATTCCCACACTCAGTCCCTCTCTATGACTTTGGCAGTCCTGGGCCTGTTCTGAGTATCGAGGAACAACCAGAGGTGTAGAAGGTAGGAATGCCTCTTAGAGATGAGGAATGATTTCTGCTAAGGGTGAGAACTTCTGTCTTGTCGCCAAACTCCCAGGTAGTCCTTCTCACATCAGACTCAGAAATTTCTCTATGTTCAGTTCAGGTCAGAAGCAGATCCTTCTGTTATACATTGATCTCCACCCCCTTTTTCTCACAACTGAAGTGGGGAATGCTTGATTAAGATGTCATGCAAAGTGTTGTGCAAGTCTAGCCCTCAGCAAACATTTGAAAGGTGTGCATGTCAGTGTGTGTGAGTGTGTGTGTGTGAGTGTGTGTGTGTGTGTGTGTGTGTGTGTGTGTGTGTGTGTGTGTGTGTATCATGGATCAGAGTAAACAGTACAAAGCACTGAGAATTTATCTGTACAATTCCCTAGTAGTTTGGATTCCTCTCACTAAGCATAGATCCCAAGATGGCTCTATCTACCCCAATCCTTGCCATCTTTACAAATAATAGTAATTGAGACAAACGGGACAGGGCATAGAGTGACAAGTCTGGATCAGCTCTCCTATGACCTCAGAAGTCTGGAAGTTCAGCAGTGGAGGATCACTGGAGGTCTTATCCCAATATCCTCTCTTGTTCAGATGGGCATACCCAGGGCAGGATGAAATCCTCTTATTTACCCTCTCCCAAGAGAACTCTGAACCAATGCATATTCTGCTCCTGTATGTCATCCTGAAGAACAAGGTTGCAGGCTTCACTGAATTCTAGGTTTTGATTGACTCAACTGGATTTTGGTTTAGTCTAAATGTGATTGGTCATTTGGTATGTCCCGGTTCTCTTGGCGAATTCTGTCCGGTAGGACTGAGTTATGGTTTTGGATCATATGTAGATGAGAATGGTCATGTGTCCCTATTTAATACAGAAGGAGAGTCTAGAATGCTCTATGATTAATGCAGTAGGGCTGTCTCTTCCTGCGTAGGCAATGTGTGGTGTGGCTGCACTGAGAGAGATCATGTGACAGAGGCCTGTTCTAAGGAGAAGAGAATAGGAGAAGGGTTGAGTTCAGTGTCTGGGCTGAGACCTCCATGGGGCCTGACTGTGAGGACCTGGACTCTGTCATTATTCTCTGACTTAAGCATCTTCTGTGCATCGACTGTATCTTTGCATCACTTCCTGTCTATGATCCCCATTCCTCTTCCCAGTCATCAGCTTATGGAATCCCCCATCAGGGCCTCTGCAGAGGCTATGAGCCCAATTGAATCTGCTCAGACTCTCATCTGTGATCATGATATCCAGGAGCTCAATAGACTGACTGCTCAGCAGAGAGGCTGTATGCCCCATAACCTCTCATTGGCTCCCAGGGGAGTGGCTCAAAAAGTCAAGGGTGAAGTCAGCCAAAGGGAAACAACCTGTGTCTGCTGGCCACAGTGTTGACCGAGGTTAGTTCACCTGTTTTTTACAGATCAAATCTTTCATAGTTGACACCAGAGCAAAACTGTAGGGTCAGGGTTTTCCCAGGTCCCAGGATATGGCCTTGATGGGGAAGGATTTGGAGTCAGCCCCAATGGGAAAATGATGGGCCAGGAATTGTGCAACTGGATTTTACCAAACATGTATCCCATGCCATGTTGCCCTGCACATCTTATGGCTTTTATTTAGCTGTGGGGCTCTGGCTAAAAAAAACATGCTCTCCCATTAGTTACTCTCTACAGGGCACTCCCCAAAAGGGCAGAGCAGTGGCATGGGTCTTATTGCCTCAAAAAGAGATTATTCAGTGATGGTGCTGACTCACCTGAGATGTGTATTTCCAGGGGATCACTGGGTACAGACCACAAACGTGGGGTACTCTTGTAGTAACCATAACATCTGAATGTTCCTGTGTGGTCTGGAGTCACATGATCTATAGAGAAAAAGGCTTGGTACTGCCTAATACTGTGTATATACTGTGAGTTCATGGAGCTGAGGAACTTCTGACCTTCCTTGGTGAGAATGAACTTGTCATATTCCTCCTGGGAGACACACTTGAGAGTCATGTTCCCTCCTGAGGTCACCACAGGGCTGGGCAGGACTGACAGGCTAGGTTTATTGTAGTAGATTCCTAGGACAGAAGGAGGCAGCCTGTTCCATGGGTCACATAGCCACAGTGTTCTCCAGGGCTAGGCTGTGAGAGGGGAATACTCCTGAGAGCAGAGCCTGGGGCTGAGACCTTGATTGCCCCTCACTTGTCACAGCTATTTCTAGGATGTCACTGTGGTCTGACCAGCCTGTTGAGGTGAAACTGTATCTGTGACATTTCTAAGCATGTTTCTGTATCACAGAAGGGATGGGAATTTGGACGTCTTCCCAAGCTACTCTGTGGTTTGTGTGCCCCAGGTCTTGTGGCTTCCCACTTAATGCAGAGCATGTATTTCTGCATCCAGGTTCCCCTGACACCAGATGGTCATGGGATTTCCTGAGGTGATCACAGAGCCTGGCTCAGCCTTGATGGAAGATCTATTGAGAGGCCCTGAAAAAGGTAGCAGCTAAGGAAGTGGATGTGTTTGAAAGTGATACAGAGTAGATCACACTTAAGGTGATCCAGAATAGCAGACAACCTACTGTAGACTCACTTCTGTCCTGGACCTCCTGCATCTCTCTCTCTCACTGTCTGCTTTGGATTCTGTGTCTTGGGTCCCACTGTCTCCCGGACTCTTTATCAATAGCCTAAAGAGACCTGGCTTATCACACACACCACACACCCAGTCCTCCATGTGCACCTATACCAAGTTTACCATCATTTTAGGGACAGGCAGGGGTACCTCACCTGAGAAAGACAGTTCCAGGGGCTCACTAGATTCTGACCACACCTGTGGTTTGTTCCTGTAATTGCTGTAGCATCGGAATGTCCAAAGCTGGTTGGGAGTCAAAAAGCCCACAGAAAACAGGGCTTCAAACTGCCCAGAAGATTGGTTATACTGCGAGTCCATGATCCAGGAGAGCTTCTGTGGTCCTTCCTTAATCAGAATAAACCTGTCATATTGCTGCTTTGAGACACACTGGAGGGTGACATTGCCACCTGGGGCCAACACAGGACTTGGTTGTGCTGACAGTCTGGGTTTACTGAAGGCTCCTGAGAGAGAAGAAGGAATAAGGTATGTGTTCTCAGATATTATATCCTCAAGGGCTGCGAGGGGAGGGGAAATCCTGAGAGCGAACCTACTTCTTGACAGTCAAAAATGAGGCTGGGAACCCTGTGTGTCCTCTTGCTTGTCAGCAGCAGCTCTAGTGGGTCACTGTCCTCTGACACTCCAACACAGTATCTGATAGTGACAGCAATATCACCCTGTATGGTGCTGCTCAATTTTTGAGATGAAGAATTCAGCCTTGTTACCAGCACAATCTCCAGTACAATCTGTTCGCACATTGGTTTTGGGCATCTACCTTTGTAGATATCATGCTTTTTGGCTTCTGTGTACACCTCACAGAAGATCATCGCCTTACTCCATTTGGGGACTACAGAGGCTGTTTGAGCTCTCAGGATAGGTTTAGGGAGGGTCACTGCAAGTAAATAAGCATTTGGTACCCAGGGCATCCTTCCTCAGATTCCAAGTCTCAACCCCACAACACTGCAGCCAAAATCGCGATGAGCACATAGACATTGTTTTCCATCCTTACTTTCCAGGCATGGCTGGGTATGAAGAGAAGGGCAGCAGAGGAAAGCTTCGGATACTCACGTGCCAGCACTGCATTCCTGAGGCCCACAGTCAGTTCTGGAAGAGAACTCAGTGTGAGAGGTTTGTCCCTGAAGCTAGAGCCCTTCCTCCCCTTAGCAGAGCCTTTTGAGACCCTGGGGTTTTCTGATGCTTGTCTGTGGATCAGGGTCATTTCTAGACAGCAGATCCCTGCCCCATCTCACCCAAACAGAGCAGTGTTGTGAAGAAGAAGGTCATGGTATCTCTTCCCAGAGGCTGTAGGAGTGCAAAATTAGGGGCAGAGCTACAGAGCCTGTTTGAAGGAACAGGAAACAGGGTGTGGTCTTCAGAGGCAAGGCAGTCCTCATTACATGGTTGTACTTCGAACCCACAGGAAGGGGAACTGCCTTTCTCAGGCACCAGCCTCTTATATGCCCTGTGCAGTGGAGAGTTGACTCGGTGCTTACATGGATGTTTCCACAACCCCATTAGTGTTTGCCTTCTCTGCCTTCATCCTACTCAGGGACAGACAGGCGTAATGGCAAACAAACCTGATGTCTCCCTTAAGTATCTCCCCAAAGGTGAAATTTGCATATGTCCTTAATACATCATTACAATGTTGCAGAGTTAGCAAGCACACAGTGCTTCTTCTTGAGTAAGACGCACGGTCGTATTAGTACATCCTTCAAATGTTCTAACAGTTATAGACAAGGCATCAAAGCAGATCGGGTGCAGGCATGTCCATCCCCAGCCCCGATTCCAAGCTCATTGTCTTCATCACCATCTATTGTGCGAGTCAGTAGACAAGATGGTTCTGTTTACTGGGGCTAAAGGGAAGGCTCACATGCATGTCTCCATGAAGGGAGAGTGAGGGGTCAGCTTCTTTCCCGAAATAGGTGAGCTGTCCTGACCCCAGAGTCCCACGGAGAAATATTCAGATTGTAGTCTTTACATTGGTTTTTCCTGTCAAGTGCAATCTCAGGCAGAAAGCTTTAACGTCAGAGCTGACTACGAAGTTGTTGTCGTTAAAGAGAAGCACTAGAGTAATGGAGAAGAGGGGAGTGCATGTCCACGTGACGAGGATGATGAATGGTGAAAGTCAGACAAACTGGCTAGACGTGTGAAGCAGAGGGGATAGGGTGAATGTAGATACTGAGAAGCCTTGTGTGAAAGACCCCAGGGAAGGAGCGACATATGAGCAGAGTGAGTCATCAACCCTTTTAGCCTCTCAGATTCTCAGTTAGGTATGAAACTGTCATTTTACTTTGTTCGATGATGTGACTCTTTTTATATCTCTGCAAACACTACAGTTTCCCTTTGTCTTAGTCACTGTTCTACTGTTGTGAAAAGACACCACGAGCTTTCTCTTGGGAGGTGGAAGAGAAGGATTCCTTCCTGCTGCCTTTGGTGTTTGAGCTGAATCATTATATGTACACATCTTTCTAATGCAGAGACCTGCTATATGAGCTTTAGTGACCTGTCCTGGAGAGTACTGTGGAGGCATCGTGGGTTGGAAGTTTTAGTGCATTTGGTCTGCAGTATTGCTTATGTCTGCTGTTTCCTTATTGATGTTCTGTCCAATGTTAATGTGGCCAGAAGGGTCTGTATTACCATGTCTCTGTATCTGTCTCTCCCTGAGTGTCTGCTTTGCGTGCTTTTATGTGGGTGTTTATATCTTAAAGATTTAATTTTAGATTTATTTAATGTACGTATGAGTGTTTTTTTCTGCATGTATGTATGAGTACCACATGGATGCCTGGTGCCTGTGGTGTTCAGAAGAGTACATTGAATTCCTTGGGACGAGGGTTACTTGTGGAAATGAACCACAATATAAGTGCTAGGACTCAATTTCCAGTCTTCTGCAAGAATAATAAGTATTCTTAACCACCAAGCCATCTCTTCAGTCCTGAATAAATCTTTATAATGTCATATTCATTGAAAAGTTGACAGAGAGTTTGATGTTTTACATTCTTAAACCAACCTTGATTTTTTAAAAATAAACCCATGTTGATCTTGTCGTTCAATCTTCTCACATCCTAAGGTGTGTTACCTGCTAATACTTAGTGCAGGATTTTGCACTAAATCTAGCTCCATGACTGACTGAGAAGGGCCGTGTTAAAGGAGATCTTTGGGCCTGGCTGCGCTGACAGGGAAGACTTTACAGAAAGGTGTTCTAGAGGGAAGAAGGGTTGCTGAGGAACTTCCGATCTTGTTCTCAGCTCAGTCTCATCAGGGCCTGAATCTGAGGACTTGTGTTTCTGTTTCCTTGCATTTGCCTACCCCTATCACCCTGCTGCTCACACTCTCTTCCTCCGTGAACCTGACCCTAACGCTAACCCTTATCATCAACTCCTGTGATAATACCCGATTAATAGAAATGGGTTAATTTAAGATATAAGAGCTAGCTATCAAGAGGCCTGCCATAGGCCATACAGTTTGTAAATAATATTAAGCCTCTGAGTGATTATTTTCTAAGTGGCTGTGGGACTGTGGAGCCAGGTGAGACTGGAGGACCTTGGGACCAGAGAAAACTTACAGCTACATCCCAGCAGCTTCTGGCACAGGTGAGGAAATCTAAAACCCGAAACAATTATTTCAACACCTGAAGGTGTTGCTGACATCCCTGTTCTGGGAAGAGCCACAGATGGAATGTGACTGTATGTCACTGAGTTCTCTTCTGTAAGCGTGTGTGAGGCAAAGCCAGGCGGTGGTGGTGCACACCTTTAATCCCAGCACTCGGGAGGCAGAGGCAGGTGGATCTCTGTGAGTTCGAGGCCAGCCTGGGCTACCAAGTGAGTTCCAGGAAAGGTGCAAAGCTACACAGAGAAACCCTGTCTCAAAAAACAAAAAAACAAAAAACAAAACAAAAAAGAATATATGAAGCAGACAGACCTGAATCTGTAGACTGCTTTTGGTAAGATTGCTAGTACTTCCCCATCTGACTCTTCCTCATCTTCCATCTTGTCCACACATTCTCTCTGGTCAAAATCTCCCTTATACCTCTCTGTTCTCCATCTCTCCATTCCCCCAAGTCTCTCAGGAGTCCAGTTATAAACCCAAGCAATAGCAATCCCCTGGTTGAGCAAGGTCACCTGGCTTGAATTCTGCAGGGTCATAAAGGTAGATAAGAATTTTCCTCAGGCAGTGACCACCAGGCTTCCAGGGTCAAACAGAGGGGTGATAAGAATCACATAGAGGGGCAGTAATTGTTAATTATCATTTGCAACCCAAAAGGGAAGTGACTAGTGGGGAAATGAATTAACTAAAGGCTAAATTTGGGTAATATCTAAGAAGAGGGATCTTATATGCTCAACTATAATCTTAAACATGATTGGTAGAAAATGTTAAGAATCTATAAGTTGGTAGGTCAATGGGAGAAAATAAAACTGTCTCCTTTTTTCCTGTGGCTCCTATCTGTCCAAGCTATCTGCCGTTTTTCTGCAGGGTGGGGGAAGGTGTGCTCAGTCGCTAGGCAACCTGTGTACAGCTAGATGCCTCTGATAATAGTTAAAGAGGGATCTGGAACTAGAGGTAAGATTTGGGAAAGGAGGAAGTCAAGCTTAATTGGCACATCCACTAGGCTTTCTCAAGCAGGTAGTCTGGACAATTGAGTCTGTTCTTAGAGAATACAGAGGTATCTCTGATAAGGTACTTTCCTCCGTCTGGGGATGGTCCTGGTCGGATGCTGCCAATGACGATAATTACAGGGAGGCTTGAACTGGGGTTCTGGCTGTTCATAGCTGTCAGCCCACAGATTATCTAAATATTCCTTTAGTAGAGGGAAAATGGTGCCCAATCAATGCTGGAAAAGCTACAATAGCACACAAGAAACTTAGTAGGAAATGGCTGAAAATCAAAAGCCAAATATTACCAAGGCTCCTTGAGCCTCAGCTTGACCTCTGGAAGGCCCTTGGCTTCTTCCAGGTATTAGCTTTGTCATAATCAGCTGAAATCCTACTTTGTATGTTTTTGCGGCTTGCATCATACAATAAAGGAATTTCTGGAGGTGTCACCTCCCTGTTCTCAAGCTCTTCTACAGAGCTAAAAAACAGCATGGTATTTGCATAAAAACAGACAAGTAGATCAATGGAACTGAATCAAAGACCCAGACATAAATCCACACACCTATGGACAAACGATTTTTTGACAAAGAAGCCAAATGTATACAATGGAAAAAAGGAAGCATCTTCAACAAGTGGTACTGGCATAACTAGATGTTGGCATGTAGAAGAATGCAAATAGACCCATAGCTATCACCCTGCACAAAACTCAAGTCCAAAGACTTCAGCATAAATCTAGTTACACTGAACCTGATAGAAGGGAAAGTAGGAAATAGCCTTGAATACATTGGCACAGGAGACAACTTCCTGAATAGAACACCAGTAGCACAGACACTAAAATCAACAACTAATAAATGGGACCTCATGGAGCTGAAAAT